ATTTTCTGTTGCAAACTATTGTATTTTCAAATTGTTCTTAAAATTACTTAAGACAGTTGGCCTTAGTTTATTTCTAGCAGCTAATATCTGAAAGTTTGCTTTCTGATTAATACTTTTCCCCGTCTCCTCACAATTTAAGAGGTGTCTTTTTAAGCTAATGTGGTTTTTTATTTTTATTTTTCCTTTTTTTTAGTGTCCACAAATTTACAGAGGGTTTGGGAGTTTAACACATAACTTTTTCTCTCAATATTGACAAAGTACTATACATCTATAAACAAGAACATTCTCCTATATAACCATAATATACTCATCAAAATCTAGAGATTAAAATGGATCTGTTACTACTATCTAATCCTCAAACCCCATTAAGATGTGTCCAGTTACCCCAGTCACGTCCTTTAATGCAAAAGGACCCAATCCAGAAGCATGCATTACATGCTGTGGTCACGTCTCTCTAATCTCCTTTAATCGGGAATAGTTCCTTGTTTTTTGCCTGTCATTTTGAAGATTACAGGTTGGTTATTTTGTAGGATGTCCCTCACTCGGTTTTTGATGCGTCTCCTCGTGATTAAATTCAGCTGATGCTGTGCTCCTCTTGTTGCCTCCTTTCAGACATTGCACAGTTTTGATGTATTGCTGATGTTAACTGTAATCACCTGATTAAAGTGATGTCTGCCAGGTTTCTCTGCAGTACAATGATACGGAGTCCTCAGGTTATGAACAGGCAGACTTAGGGATAACTACTATTTGCCCTTATCTGTAAATATGCTCTCCCTTTGAAATACTTGAACCAAACCCTGTTGGCATCAAATTCTTCACCACAGTCATCTTCAATTGCTGCATATGTGAGCTTTTAAATCATTGAAAAGACCATTAATCTTTTCTTGCAAAACAGTGAGGCTAAATAAGGACCATATGTACTTGTTCAAATTTACGCACATATTAATAAAAGATCTTGTTTATAATCCCAGGACTGCCTTATTCCTTTTCCTTTCACTATACGTATTTTTGAGGCAGGACTTTGAAACTATGCAACCGTATTGTTTTTCTTCAAAGGTTTACTTTATCTATTTCTTCTTTTAAAAAAACAATCCTGTGTTTTTGTTGTTAAGAATGTTCACAGCAGAGCATGCATCAACTCGAACAATCTCACATAATTCTGTGACATTGGTTATATTCCGGAAATTGCAACAATAGCTCACCTCCTTTTCCAGATTCCTCCTCCTCCTCCATTAGTCTAAGCTCACTGCGCCCTGATGGTGTGCTGCTATGCGGGAGAAAAACCGAGGGTCTACTCCCACAGAGTTACAGCGGGGCAGTTCTCCCTCCTATAGCGTTGCAATGAGCCCAAGTCAACGCAGTAGCAGTGAGTTTTTGAGATTTGGCTCCGTAGCTTTCTAATTTTTTTAGTTGATATCCATTTGATCCCTCATAAAAACCAAAACGAAACCCATTGCCACGGAGTCTCATTCCAGTTAACAGACCCTGTAGGACAGAGTTGCTATGAGTTGCAAGCAATTCAGTGGCAGTGAGTTTTGTTATAGGACAGAGTCGAACTGCTCACAGGGTTTTCATGGCTACGTTTTTATGGAAACAAACTGCCACATTTCTCTGTAGCAGAGTGGCTCATGAGATTAAACTGCCAACCCTTTGTTTAGTAGGTAAGTGCTTCATCACCGAGGCCCCTACTTACTCCGTGTAACAACAGAACAAACCCACTGCCATTGAGTCTGTTCTGACCCCTGTTGACCTTACGTAGGATTTCTGTAGCTGTAAATCTTTAGGGAAGCAGAGAGCTTCAACGTTCTAAGTAGCTGCTGGAGAGTTTGAACCACTGACCTTGCCGTTAACAGCCCAACACCTACCCGACAGTGCCACAGGGTCTCCCATATAGATAGGTCCTAAGAGTAGTGTTTAAGGCACAGATGTTCTTTACTAGATAAGCTAGTAAGATTTCAGGGAGTATTTTTGGTTTAAAATTTAAAGATTATCTAGAGTAGTAGTTTAGGGGGTTCACCCAGCCTTTATGAGTCCACAAAGTCTTCATACCCTGAGAATTTAAATTAGTTTTATTTAATCAGAAATCTGTAGAATCTCATTAAAACATTGATAAGGACTTGTTTCATCTTTCTTTACCATTTGTTGCCATTACTTTGGACAGTTACCATTCAAGCTGCCCTCTGCCCTTTGACATATAGCCCACCTTTTTTGAGCACTTGTTAGCTGCTGGCACAGAATGTTCCCACAGTAGCTTTCCTGCCGTGGCTAGGCTGTTTGGTTATTATGGGATTTGAAGAAGGAGGAAGAGAGAAATGCTCCTCTGAATATGAAATCCAGCCATGAGAATAAGCCCTTAGATTGCTTTGTGCTTAAAAGGTAATGTGTGGTAAAGTCACCTAATTGATTACCAACTAATGGACTCCTGGGGCCCTCAGATCGTTGTAGCAGAAGGTACTGTGTCCTGGGAGCTTTTCACTTGTTAACCTTACAAAGTTTGTACACTTCTGAGAATACTTCAGTTAAAAATTCATTGCTGTAGAGTTCATTCCAATGCAGACCGAGATTATGTTTGAAGGTAGCGAGGAGAGCCAGCAACAAGAGAAGGGACGGAGCTTTCGGTAAAATTTTAAAAATACTTTTGTAAAAACGAAAGTTTAGGAACTGCTCTTGGAGAACACAGAGTGTGCGCCTAAGTCTGGCTGTTTGTCTTGAAGTTTGGGGAAGTGTCAGTAATCTATATTGAGACAGAAAGGATGAGGACTGTACAGGTAAGTTGAGCCAAGAACAGCAAGCACTTGTGTAACTGGAAGAGTTCTGTGAATGTGGCCCATTTCCGAATGGTGGGTGAGGTTCAGAGTTTGTGCTGGTTGTTTTCCAGATGAGCAGAGCTACATTCTCCGAGATGCTGAGGCTGAAGTGCTATTCTCTTTCAGTTTAGAAGAGTCCTTAAAAAGGGCGCATGTCTCTCCACTATTTAAGGTACGCTTTCAAGGAAAACTCAGTAAGTCCAAGACGATGTGAAAGGTCAGACAATGGAAGATAATAGTTGCAAGCATATGCTGTATGTACTCTTGTATAAGCCAAGGTTTTCAGCACATTTTTTATGCTGTTTTTGTGGTAAAATTAGGTGCCTCAGATGATATTCGGGTTGGCTTATACTTGAGTAAATACAGTATGTAGAGTTTTATGGTTTGCTTTCCCTGATAGTTTTTGAAACCTTCTCTCAGCGTAATATGATATATCACTGTAATATTCTTTTGACTACAGTGTAGAAGAATTGATGTGAAAATTACATATATAGAAATTCTATATGTTGTTATATATGTTTTTAAATATCGGAAACCTGAGTATGTTAATTGAATTGATATGGGTTAGGTTCATTATTTCTACTTTTAACAGCTTTTTAGAGGATATTACATAATTCTATTCTCATTGTGTATTCACCTGAATTTATGCTTAAATAATTTATAACTACGTTTTGAAAAATACCTAATAGGTAAGTTGGGACAGATGGGAAATTCTTGGCTAAGAATATCAATAAAGATAATCTATTCTTTAAAACTTCTTCAACCTAGGAATAAAAATTGATTTGCAGCATTGTGCTAAAACACATTTTACCTAAAATAATCTGTTTTTTTCAATGCTTGGATTTCTTTACTGCTTAAAGTGAAATAGTGTTCTGTCGTATTCTTGAGAGCTAAGTTGTTCACAGGACTAGTTTATCGATGCTGACTTGGTTAATATCATTGACTAGTAACAGAGAGGGAGGTGTTTAGTGAAAAGGAGCATTGTTCAGCTGTTGTGAGGTGAAGCTGTTCCGACTCACAGCACAGCACTGCTCGGCCCTGTGCCTCATCACAGTTGTGTGTGATCTCGTTGTTACAGCTAAGAATTGTGCTGAAGTTCTAGTTTTAATCATGATATTTATGTTTCGTGCCTACGTATTAATGTGTTTAAACTGTTTCCAAACTTTAGATTCCTCCAGGCTCACTTTAATTTGATATACTAATTGAGGAAGAATTTCTTCCTGATTTAATGGAAGTAGACTTTTGTCAGAATTTGCGAAAAACCATGTATTCTAAAGCATGTTTTTAAACATATACACTTAAAATTTTTTTTTTTTTAGGGGAAATATTTTTATATCACCCCTGGAATTTGTCCAAGCCTTTCAACTGTGAAAGCTATAGTGGAATGTGCAGGAGGAAAAGTGTTATCTAAGCAACCGTCTTTTCGGAAACTCGTGGAGCACAAGCAGAATAAGGTGAACGGAGGTAGAACAAGCTGCTGACGCCATTGTGGTCATGCAAAAGATACAGTCTGTAAATGTCTTTTCTTTTCTTTAGAGTTTGTCCGAAATAATCTTAATATCCTGTGAAAATGACCTGCACTTATGCCGAGAATATTTTGCCAGAGGAATAGGTACAGTTTACTGCTTCTCCTGTCTGTTAGAGAGAGTCTACATTTGCATGCCCGTTTCTCCTCACAGCCTTTATCTTCATCCCTTGCAGATGTGCATAATGCAGAGTTTGTTCTCACTGGAGTACTGACACAGACACTGGACTATGAATCATATCCTTTTTGAAAAAGACTGAAAAGGGGAAGGGCTGAATGGGTTTCTAAGAGTGATGAAGCAGTGGTCTTAACTATTTTTGCATTAAGATTTGTGCATTAGTGATTCGTTCTCTTAGGAACACTTGTTTGAGAGGAAAGTAAAAACAGTCTCTTACTGAACGCTTAGACTCAATGATCTGAAAGGATCCGTACTATCTAGTGGATGTAAACATTTCAGTTATTGGCAGTTGGATGAAACAAAATAATTGCACACATTAAAAAATAATAATTGCACAAAGGTGTGTTTTTCATCAACTAATTTCTGAGCTTGAAACTTAGTGAATTGGAAACTACATATTATGTACTTTGAGATGGGCAAAGAAAAACACAATTTAATAGAAACATCAAAATGAATCATTTATTAAGGTGGTACCAGTAGAAAAATATAAAGCTAAAAGTTTAGAATAATACATTTTGACACAGACTTAACGAGTTTTATGTTTTAGGCATGCAGAATAAAAGTGGGGGAGGGGGCTTGTCATGTGATACTTATTCAAAATCTCTGTAAATCATTACGTTGATACGAGAATGGCCACCAGCAAAGCAGAGTGTGTGCCTCATCAGGTCCAAAACATAATGTTTTAACAGACATTCTCACTAAAGAGAGAATGTTTTCTAGAATGAATCCCTTGGGTTGCTTGCAGTTGGACCAAGGGTAGGTTTGATCAGGAGTCTTTTTACTCTCCTGTAGGTAGACTGGTACCCACAGCTCTCTGACCAGTGTTGGTGTTACTCTCTGACCAGTGTCGGTGTTAGCTACATTAGACCTTAAGCGCAGGAAGCTTGCACTGTGCTTTGGATAGGAGTCTGTCAGGTATTATTTGATGAACAAGCTAATGAGGTAGAAAGACATCCTTCTGCAGTCAGTTACTTTTCCCTTCATATGCACTAATATCAACTAGTTAAACTCTTCTCTTTTACTGAAAGTCTTTGTAAGTTGAAAGCCCAGATAGCATTGAACATGAGCTTCTTTTTAAAAAAAATCATTTTATTGGGGGCTCGTACAACTCTTAACACCATCCATCCATCCATCCATCCATCCATCCATCCATCCATCCATCCATCCATTGTGTCAAGCACATTTGTACATTTGCAGCCCTTATCATTCTCAAAACATTTGCTTTCTACTTGAGCCCTTGTTACCAGCTCCTCATCCCCGCCCCCACATGAACCCTTGGTAATTTGTAAATTATTATTTTGTCATATATTACACTGCCCAATGTCTCCCTTCACCCACTTTTCTGTTGTCCCCCAGGGAGGGGGTTATATGTAGATCCTTGTAATCAGTTCCCCCTTTCTATCCCACCTTCCCTCCATCCTGGTATCACCACTTTCACCACTGTTTTTGAAGGGATCATCTATCCTGGATTACTATCTGTACCAGTGTACGTCCTCTGGTCTAGCCGGATTTGTAAGATAGATTTGGGATCATGATAGTGGGGGGAGGAAGCACAAAAGAACTAGAGGAAAGTGTATGTTACATCATTGCTACCCTGCCCCCTGACTGGCTTTTCTCCTCCCCATGACCCTTGTGTAAGGGGATGTCCAGCTGTCTACAGATGGGCTTTGGGTCCCCACCCCACACTGTCCCTCATGATTTTTTTTCTTTGATGCCTCATACCTGATCCCTTTGGCACCTCGTGATCACACAGGCTGGTGTGTTTCTTCCATGTGGGCTTTGTTGCTTCTCACCTAGATGGCCACTTATTTACCTTCAAGCCTTTAAGACCCCAGACTCTATATCTTTTTTTTATTTTTTATTTATATTTTGACTCTATGTCTTTTGATAGCTGGGCACCATCAGCTTTCTTCACCACATTTGCTTATGCACCCACTTTGTTTTCAGCAATTGTGTCGGGAAGGTGAGCATCGTGGAATGCCAATTTAATAGAACAAAGTATTTTTGCATTGTGGGAGTACTTGAGTGGAGGTCCAATGTCCATCTGCAGCCTTAATATTAAACCTACAAATATATGCATGTAGACATATTTTCCCATCATCATATAGAAATATGTTTACATATGTACATGCCTGCATTTAGACCTGTATAAATAAATGTCCTTTGCCTCCTAGTTCTTTTTTCTATTTCCTTTTACTTTCCTCTAGTCCCATGATCATGCTCAGCCTTCATTTGGGTTTCAGTAATTCCTCTCGGTTACATTGCCCTGGATGCAGCCCTACCAGCCCTCTAATACCTTCCTCGCCACTGATTTTGGATCACTTGTTCCCTTGTCCCTGGGTTTGTTAGCACCATTTCCTTTCCCCACTCTCCCCCGCTCCTATGTCCCCCCGAAAGTGTCGGTCCTGTTTTCTCCTCCGGATTGTTTATCCAGAGCACGAGCTATTTTTAAGAAGAAAAGATTTCGTCAGTCCCAGAAACAAATGGCACATTTAGCAATAATAACCTAGTTTGATGTGTAGAACATTCTTTAATATTTATAAATAATTTTATTTGGAGCTCATATAACTCTTATCACAATCCATACATACATCCCATTGTGTCAAGCACAGTTGTACATATGTTGCCATCATCATTCTCAAAACATTTTCTTTCTACTTGAGCCCTTAGTATCAGCTCCTCATTTTTCCCCTCCCTCTTCTACCCTCCCTCCCTCACAAACCCTTGATAATCTATAAATTATTATTTTTCCATGTCTTACACTATCCGATGTGTCCCTTTACCCACTTTTCTTTGTCCATCCCCCAGAGAAGGGGTTATATGTAGATCATTGTGATCGGTTCCCCCTTCCTCCCCACACCTTCCCCTTACCCTCCTGGTATCTCTACTCTCATTGGTCCTGAGGGGTTTATCTGTCCTGGATTCCCTGTGTGTGCAACTGTGATCTGTACCAGTGTACATCCTCTTGTCTAGCCGGGTAAGTAAGGTAGAATTGGGGTCATGATAGTTGGGGAGAGGAAGCCTTAAAGAACTAGGGGAAAATTGTTTCATTGGTACTACACTGCTCTCCTCCCCACGACCCTTCTGTCAGGTAATATCCAATTGCCTACATATGTGCTTTGGGTCTCCCCTCATTCACATGCATAACATTCTTAAGAGCAGCTTTATATATTTCATATCCTTATATTAAGAAATAATTGCAAGAGTTCCTGATATTTATGGTAAATGGCTTGTATGATTTTTTTTTTTGTAGTTGTGCTATAAGCACTTTGTTTTATATGATTCCAAATAAAAAACAAACTCGATGCCATCAAATCGATGCTGACTAATAGCGACCCTATAGGGCATGGTAGAACTGCCCTGGAACACAGTACTGCTAAATATTTTGTAGATTTTTTCCCCCTACCATTCATATCTACGCATATACTATTTTTATTTTCAGAAGGAAAACTTGCTTTAAAAATCATATATTATCTCACAAGTCTTTGTTTAGATCTGTATGCTGAAATTAGTCTTATTTTGCCCCAAATGAATGGTTTAGAATTTCAGGGATTGTCAGTTGTCCTTGAGTATGCTGGTAAGAATCAACCCTTTTCTGGACGGCTTTTGAGGATATCGATTTCCCAGTGCCATGCACTGTAAATGTTAGTTTAAAGGAGAATCCAACTTTTACTGGATCCCAACTTCAGCTGCACACTGACGTCACCGGGGGAGCCTGAAAAATTGAGGGACTTCAGAGATCGAGGAAAAAATCCCACTATCTTTTAATTTTATTCTCCATGAATGTTTGAAGCCCTATCCTCCTGCTGCTTGGGTCCAAGTCCCAAGGATCCTGTTTACTGAACTTGAATGAAGCCTGTGTATCAGGATTTTATATCTCCTGTGGTTTGGATGGGCAGCCAGAGAAGCGAATGTGTGGCTAAGACAAATAGCACCTAAAGCTTATGAATTCTAATTTAAAATTAGAATCTGCCGTTGAATGCTGTACATTTGTGTTTGCATATTGTTTTCCTTAGCAAGCCTACATACACATTTAATTGATGCTACCTAAGCTGCCGTTGCCTCTGGCGTGCTGGGGCGGGTCTGGCCGTTGGGCCGTTGGATCAAGTGCCAGGGCTTCCACAGATGCTCTTGTTTTCCAGCTGCTTTCTGAGGGGATGAGCGTTTTCACGCCGGAAAACAAATATAATAAATTAACTGCATCTTATTAAGATGTGTGATTTTATTCTGAGGAAACATAAATTATGTTTTGTATTATATGAATTTAAGAGCCCACATTAGGTTTTATGATTCATTTGCCAGGTTTTTAAATGTTTTCACAAAACTTACAGAACTTCAGCTACAAGTAAAATGATGTAAATAAAGAACTTGCTATCTCTAAATTATGGATGTTAAAGAAATAAACTGTTTTGTACTTTGATTATTTTTATTTCTTATACTTCATTTTCTTTTATATTGATACCTTGCCCACATTTTAAATAAATGTACTTTTAAATTGTACTTAGAATGGCGTAATGCTTTCTTAGTCCCTTTTTCTTGTAATTCAGATGATTTGCATCTAATTGGATCACATTATTCCAAGCAAAGTGTTTTCAGATTTTCTCCAGGAGAAATAATATCTGGCAGGCAGCTATTTTCTGTTAATAAATAGGCCCCCAGGCAGATGTATATTAAATTTTTTTAATAATCTCTTCAGCACAGGTACCAACTAGTTAGAACCAATAATACCGCCCAACAGCCCATCATAGCCCTTCTAGTCCTAGTCGTGAATCTAATGTAGCTCCTGTTGGATTGTAGCTGCAATAAAATAGCTGCAGGCTACCACACTTCAAAGTATAATTAGGGGAGTAACTTTTAATCTATTTTAAATTGCATTGACCAATATTGTCATCGTCTGATTTATTTGAGTGCATTCTTTAATTGCACAGTCTACAATTTAAATCTCAAACCATATAGGTCGAAGATATGTATTTAAATCTTAACGCTCAATTCCCTTTAATAGGAATGCTTAGTATTACATGGGCTTCTATTGTATTCAAAGCATAATTTCTCTCATAGTAGGTTTGCTTATACAAATGGAAAGGAAGCTAAGTTTTATAGACATTCCCACACAATTTCAAGTTAAGGAAGCAACAGCATCTTCACATTACTGTCTAACTCTTGACCTACTGTGGTGTTCTCACAACTGTTGATTCCCATGTGGGCACTCATTCATAGTATATAATACATAGTCATAGTATGTATAACTGACATATTTAATATCTCAGGAAATATATGTCCCTTGATAACATCCTTGAGTTACCCTAAAATTCATGTTTTTAAGGGTGAGGGTACGTGGAAAAATACTGCATTAAAATTACAGGCACTTCTAATGAATAGGAAACCAGAACAGGAAATTCGTTTTTCAACTTACCCCTCCATCTAGGCCTGTGTCCTTCTGAGAGTTTCTCTTTAACTCCCATAAGAAGCCTGGTGGCTTGGGCTAAGTATTGAGCTGCTAACCACAAGGCCCCCAGTTCAAACCCACCAGCTGCTCTGTGGGATAACGATGAGGCTGTCTGCTCCCAAAAGGTGTAAAGTTTCTTGGCAACAAATGTACAGGTGTGTTTGATACAGTGGATGGATTGTGATAAGAGTTGTTCGAGCCCCCAATAAAATGATTAAAAAACAAAAAGATATAAAGTCTCAAAACCAAAGGGGCAGTTGTTCCTTATAGGGTCATTGAGGTAGAATCCACTCAATGGCAGCGAGACCCTTCGTGGAAGAATTCTGCACTCTTGCACTGTGTCAAGTGGTAGTTTGCTTAGACATTCTCAAGTCACTCATACTGTGTTCCTTTTCAGTGTTCTTTGAGCAATGAAAAATCTGAAGGGGCAAGATTAGGGGTACTGTAATTGTGTTTTTGAAGTCAGGTTTTCTAAAGTTCTCAACAGCCCTTGTAACCCTGTGTTGTGGGAAACAAATCCTTGGCAAATTTTCCTGGCCTTTTTCTTAGCAATATGTCAGGGTAGCCAGCCCCTAACAAATCATCACGGGTCCGGAAGGCACAATTGTACAGCAATAATAAGTAAATATTAAAGTCATCAAGAATAAGGAGCGAGAGAAGAGAGATTGAAATAATGGAGTCAGACACATTTCATGGTAGCATGCTCACCTCAGCTCCTCTTAGTGGTACAGGGCAGGAGAGAGGGAGTTTTACTGCTAACCAAGGCATATCTATCTTTGGGGGTGTGTCTGCCTCCTAATTACAGGTAAAGACACATCACAGGAAGGGTTGTACAATTAGCAGTACAAGCAATAGGAGGGGGATATACAAGGCATAAGCGTAACAGGAAGGGAATGAGCTAGGGGTGTACACATGGTAAGAAGGGGAGGGACTAGGGGTATACACGTGACAAGAAGAGTGGACCCTAGACTCATGGCAGCCTAACCTTGGTCACCCTTGCGTGGGCTTGACCTCCATGGGCTCTCCAGGGAAATAATCTACTATCCTTATCAGAAGGAAGTGGGCCCTACTTATTGTGGGATAAACGTGTCTGCTTGCTCTGGATGGCTGATAACCTTTAGGGAGGTAACCTTTGACCTACTTTTCATTGACCTCCAAGTGTAGGTATTTACCATATGTAACAAGCATCTAAGTTTGGCATATATTTGGGGAAGATAACTTGGGAGAAATCTTTGTTTCCCACACCAATATGTCGTTTTCAATGAAAAAACAAACAAACAACCTTTAAGGCCACTTAGTAAAAGTGATTAAGAGGATCTTTTGGAATTTTACTTTCCTTCCCTCCCAAAGCCGTAACTGAGCCAACCTTTCTGCCTTAACTTTGAGTGGAACAGTAGATGCTCTTAGAAGGTACTGTTGATTGCGCCTAGCTTTCTGGATCTTGGTAAATCCAAGACCTGTCCCCTGTGACGATTCAGTCCATACATCATCTTCATTAGTGTCAATCTTACTTAAAAGACTGATGGAAACATCAGCTCTTTGAGCTAGCTGATCTTTGTACAACCTTTTTGGCATCCATTGTCCCAAAAGCGGGTTTAAAATTGCAACTGCTGAATGAACCATGCAATATCAATGGCAATTCTGTAGTGTGCCACCAATTTCTGGACTTGGGTCACAGTTTCTTCATTTTTTGAGGTTGACAGTCTTCCTTCTCTTGGCTCATCTTTAAGGTCTTCCCAACCTTCCTTAAAAGTCAAGATTCTTCAAAAAGCATGTGGGGCAGCATTCCTATAAACTTACTTGCTAGAAACAAAACTGCGAGGATTTGTGCAGACGTCCATTGGAATTTTGTTAAACATTTATTGTGAATCCAACTTCACATCTGGGCGAGTCCTAAGGGACGGTTGTGTAATTGAAGGGAAGAAAAAGGTTAAGGATGCTCACTTTGACCATGACTTCAGGAGCCAGATGCCCTCAGAGAGAGAGGTTGTATTTCCAACACCAGTTTATGTAGGCACACAAGCCTCCCTAATTACAGGTAACCACATAAGTAATAAAGTACCTTGACCCTAAAGGTCCCTGGGTTCGTTGGAGGAATAACCTGACAGGTGCTGGGGGCAGGGAAGGGGGAGTGACTTGTCCCCTGAATCAAGAGCAGTAGCACATGTCTGCGCCTATAGTTAAAGCTGCCAGCTAGATAGCAATCAGCCATGTGCTTTTAAGTAACTTTAAGGCAGCACTGTGATGGGAGGCTATAGTAGGGAACAAAGTTATGAGAATGTGATTGAAATCCAACTCGCGTGGG